CTATGTTTTTAGCTTGGTATTACCTTTCTCACTAATGACATTCCTCTTAGAATCCATAATCGTACCAATTAATTGGAGGATATACAAACGCTTTTATTCTTTCATTTGAACATGCTATTACATATTTCTTTTTAATAATCTTTTTACTAAATAATAAAATGAAATTTTTTTATTGATAAAAATAAATGAAATGCTTTATTAGGTGTTTTGTTTCGAATAATATGCGTCTTGATTATAACTTGAACAGCAGCTTAAAATGAGAAAATGCGTTTCCAATCATTGTTGAAGTAAGGTTTTTATTTATTTGTTTTTAAAACTTTTAAACAAATTTTTAAACTTGAAATAGATTTTCTGTTAGAGCGCTTATTTCAACTTTTCTGATTTCATGCGCCTTAGAATCATAACTTTGGATGGGCACTGCGAATATTTTAATTGCAAACCAGATACAGTTGTTGGTTGCCTGAAAGTAGGTTATATGCTTATTATTTGCTTAGCGCTGTTTACTAAAGAAATATAACTTTCGACAACCATTTGTAAATAATGGCGCTAACTTCTCACTTATATCAGTCTCACTCGGCCAATCCCTTTTTGAGACTGACCGCTTATGTGATCTGCCGCTAATCGACGATGGTACATGATTTTACATATTATTTTTAGACGAAATCATTGTTTTGGAAAAACTTACTCCTGATGAAGGTTTATGCAGATACGGGTATGATCCTGGGCCCACAATGCTTGAAATACTTGAAACCACTTCAAAAGTTAACCCATCAGCAACTTATAGAACAAGAAAGTTAGATGTATCTTCCGAAACATGGCAGTGTGCCATAGTAAGTCTCATTGAAGTTGCGCAAAAATTTGCCACTTTCGACGAAGAGATGGCCAGAGCCTTTCTTCACATTCAGGGTACCTGGTACAGTTTAATGCTTAATTAAACCTTAGTTTGCCTATATTTTTTTATGTGTACTACTATTCATACGTTTTATTTTAATTACCTCTTGATATTTCCATCATACTTAAACTACATTTAATCTTGATTTCATTTATCTTCTCATTTAAAACGCAGATCTCCAGATGATCTAAGCTAAATAAATTTAACCAAGCCGTCTATATTGATGGTTTTATTATTATGCTTATATTTTGTTGCTTACTTTCTTAATTTCTATATATATATACATATAGTTCATCCTCTTTTGCTATTATAGTTACTCGATAAAGAGTTTAATGTATTTTATAGAGCTTTAGTTGCACATTCTTCAGCGGCTTGATAAGGCCCTTAGATTAGTCAAATCAATAATTTGCATCAATCTGTCCTGCAGCATCCAAGTCACATCTGGTTAGTTTTAAGAACTAAAATGAACACTATGATATGTCCTATATTTTTATTCGCATTGAGGTGACATCTGATTTTAATTTACGCTTTTTATTATACAAAGCATCATGCTCTTTCAGATATTAGTTGTATGATATTATTCATTTTGCTTTCCCGGGTTTGTAATCATTATTATTTTATTTCAAGTTATTAGTCAACTCTCTCACTTTCCAGTATTCTTTATCTATTCAGGTTTTGTTATATTACTATATTTAATTTTACCTATGAGGGTTTTTATACTACTACCTGGCTGACCTTCAGTATAACTAAAATAAAATCTTAGGAAACGTTCAAAAATCAAATTTTCTTATGGAAGGCATGGAAAGCCCTATTTCTGCATTATTATTGACATATCAATAAAAAACCACACAGCCAACACAAGCCTTTTCTCTCAAAGGCTATAGGGAAAATTATAGGGCTATGTCAGCATTCAGACTAACATCCTAGACCAGTCATTCCCAAACTGTGCGCCGCGCCCTCTTTCAGGGCCGCCGTAAAATATTGTAAAAGCTTCATAATTAATTTAACCCAGACACTTGGCCTAACTAAACAAAAACGTGAGAGAAAATGCTTCCTCTTCTCGATCGCGTCATATGATCGCACAAGACACATCGAGGTGCGTAAAACCTTCGCGATAGATTTTGAATGTTCTGGAAGATCTTGCGGAAAGTATATAAGCAGGAGTTGTCGGCTCAATTCAGGCAGTCAACTTATAATTTGAGTCTAGTGAAGTTAAACTCAGCGCCAGACCTACTGACAGCCAACTAGCTCTAGTCTTCGCCGCGTCTATCCTGTTTCTACCCCTAATACCAAGTCTATGACTTCCTATTCCCTAGTATCTTGTGTGCCAACCCACAAATGTTGTGGTTCGACATTGAACCTAATCAAAGCGATAAGAGGATATTGGATTGGTGATTAGCTCAGAATGGAAGGATAGTTACCACGATTGTTTAGCAGACAATTGGTCAAAGTATCGGCTTCACTTGTATCTTTTGCGAGTTCTAGTATGATGCTAAGACAATGTGGTGCAATGATCATTGACGATGCCGGCGAAACGTATGGGAATGTACCACGTCAACGGTCCGACTGGAAATTATCATGCATAAAAAGGACTCCGGACTAGGTTCGTTCCTCTAACTCTAGCTACCTATATGACCAAGTTGCGAAAACAAGGTCAAACAACTTCTTTCCCAGTTAGCTCTAGAAAAACTGCCAGTAACCATTTAACTCCTTTTTAAATTGATTATTCACCACCAAAATACTTACATAGGTCAGCACATGTAATATAGTTTTGTGCTTGCTACTCAATTACCTTTATATTATATGCCTATTTATCCTTTCATTTTTCCTTAGATGGAGTTCTAGAGGAAAATTGCCTAGTCAATAAGGAAGCAGAATTGTTCTCCGGCTTTAGTTTCCAAAAAGTTGATTCCGATTTGTTGAAACAACTTATCTGCATGGGTTTTGATCCTGTAAAAGTAGAATACGCTCTTAGACAGACGGGAAACTTGATTACACAAGCGATGGATTTGCTGCTTTCTGAGTCAGATTTAACCTCTAGTTCCACCACCCAGTTAACAACCTCAGACTCCACAGTCTCTTTCAATTCGTCCCACTCAACTGATATTCATACCCATTCGGCTGATAACCCCAATTCTGGGCTAGCGACCCATCGTCTTTCAATAGCTCAACTAACTCCTGGCCAGTTGTTGAATATTTTTCGCGCTTGGAGACTTCGTGGAAGCCAACCTAGCATAGAAGCCAAGTCCAGCCTCATGGAAATGGGCTTTCCTGAATCGGAGGCAGTGGCAGCTCTGAGGGTAACTGGGAATGACAAACGTCTTGCGGTGAGTTATTCATTATTAATGCGAGTTTCACTATTCCTAGTTACCATATATGGTTAGTATAATGAAATATATGCTTTTAGCAGGCATGAAATGAGATCAACATAGCTTTCAATAAAAAATATTTACTAGGGCACCACAAGTCGATAGATAGTATTAAGAAAGCGTTATGGGAAAATAATACCGGGTAAGATAGGAGAATTTAAAACTGCTTCTGTAAGTCTTATCCTGTCTTATAGAAAAAACATGTAAAATGGTAAAAAGGAAGACATAATAGTTGTGTTGACAAAAATTCATGCTGCCTAGTTATGCCTTATTCTTTAAAGTATTAAAATACTCTCACTATTAAGTTTCTATGCTGATTTATATACATGCCATTATTTTGGTTGGATGTTGACCCATACATTTGTTGAACGGTGCACGATGACCTGCATAGGCTTATATATATATATATATGAATCATTCGTACAGGTGATAAATAATCTTCACCAAATGATTGATATATACCTCATAGTTTTGTTGGGTATATTGAATCCGCTGGCTAGAATTAGGACGCAGTTGAATTTAAAAAGTCGCATCTAAGAATTATGTTTTGGTCTCCTAAGAAAAACGATCTGGTTAATGGAACTAGCCAGACAGAAGGGGATGCGGTTGAGCTATCCTTGAATTAAATTATGGCTCTATAAATCCAGTGTACAAGTAAGATTACATATCTACTTGTAATTTTTTTTCAAAATCTCTTAAATTTATTGTCAGCATAACTTTATGCGGCCAGAGAAGGAATAGCGGCTGCAGGTCAGTGAGGAAATAAAACTCGTATTAAGACCAAGATGTTGTGCCCAGTCGATGTCTCAGTTTCCTTTCGCTGTTTAGAAGCAGTATGACTTCGTTTTCGCAACTTGGTTGCATTGCCAGGGCTACCTAGTAGGATGCACATTGGCCGAGGTCCTCTGCTATAGTAGCTGTAATAATTT